AAAAAAATTTGTAAAAGAATTTTAAAGACAATGAACTAATGCTCAGCTGTATATGTTATAAAAGTGTAACCCATCAAATCAATGAAAGATATATATTATTATTTACACTCACTGTCAACTCAGTCATAATGTATATAAACAAAAGATTACTTGGATTGTAGGTGGACTATTGAAGTGTCTAGTTTTACATTAGAAATGATAAATATGATTATAGTATAAACAGACAGCCCAAATGGGAAGTTACAAGAGGCATAACTTATCAAATCAAGTTACAAATGAATATCAGACCAGACACACCCTCGATAATGAACACACATGTGTACACTGGTATACAGAATGAGAATACATTATGTTCATTGCAACACAAAAATGGGTGCAACACAAAGTTGCATAAAACATGTATGATAGATAACAGAGTTATCAAAATACACAAAACCAAATAATTAATGGATCTGTGTAATAGTAATCTCCCATGTACAATCATAATTAGCAACAACCATAATTCCTTATTGTTAGAATAGAGCAAGTAAATTAGTAAAATTATGTAATATCAATATAAAAGACACACACATAGACACAAAATGCCACTAATCAATTCTCAGTTAGTTAATCTTGTGCCTCTTTTATTTTAGGCATGAGGAAACCAGTTCTCTGTCTAGTGTACACAGCCACCAGGACAATAATGAATCCAATGAACAATGACAATATAGTGGAGTGGAGGAAACCTGATCTATGGACCAGTGATAATCCTATCAGACTAAAGAAAAGACTATGATAATGCTAGGAAAACAATTCACTTGAAGCTTTAGAATAACAATGTACATGTACATGAATAATAATAAAGTCTGTCCAATTACTGTAAACAGTTTCATTCTCATGCTTAACCAAGTATTGCATTGTATATACATGTAGTATTACAAAATGTAATGAACACATGACAATTTTTGCATGGATGAGCAATGATTAGCAAATCGGCCAGACAGCCAATATGCCATGGTTGCTTCATTCTATATACAAGCTTTATGGCCTATGTCAACAGCTAAAATTTCTGTGGCCCAATTGGCTAATTGCTTATCACAGACCAAATAAAATCCTTACTATTAAACTGACACTAGTATTACAGTACATATACACGCATTACTGTATAGCAGGTAAATTTGGAGGGGATGAATTTTGGCAAATTGCTAAATTTTGGTAATTGGCGGGTTTTAATTTGGCAAATTTGTGGCCACGTGCCATTGAGCATGTGTATAATGGCTCAAAATGGTGGGGTTTTATTTTGGCGAATGGCTATCAAAATGCCAAATTCGCCAAATTTAATCCCCTCCAAAATTACCCGCTATACGGTATTTTAGTCTGTTAATTCTCACCCATGTTGTGTTTGTATTATAATGTCATTGGATGAATCATCAGTGAAGTCACTAATGACTGGTTTGGATAAAGGAGGAGATGAGAGTATGTGTTGGACTAGTATTGAACCATCAGTAGCATCCAATACTGTCACTGAATACCAGCCTATCAGTAGTATATGATCCTATGAGGTATAATAATAATAATAATAATAATAATATAATAAATTGGATATTCAACTAATCTCAGTACATGAATAGTTACAATACAACCCCCCAAGCTAAAATGCAGTATATACACAAAATGTACTAGTCCATGAGTATCAGTAATGTAATACCTGAATCACTTGATATCTGCCTTCAGCTTCACCTCAAGCAGATATTTCAGGTATCACATTACAAATACATGTACATGTACACACCCCTTAAAACAGGCCCTATATGTACATGTACATGCACTGTTACATGTACATGTAGATTTAGAGGGTGCTTTGGAGATATATTGTGCATGGTATTCTGCTTCTAGCGACATTATTACTGTACATGCATGTACATTGTATATGAGTGCTTTTTACATGTATTTTAATTAATTACTTTCTTTCCGTATGATTTAAGAGCTAGAGCTGACATTGATGGTCTGAATGACTCACTAACAAAGTCATACTCCATCTTCCTCTTCTTGTCCCCGCCCCCTTCAGCCCCACCTACCGGCGACTCATTGTTACTATAAATAGTATCAGTAGCAAAATCCCAATCTGCTTCAGTGTCAGTCTGCCAGTTGAACTGTCCTCGGGGTCCAATACTTGTGACACGCCCACTACTTAATAGGAATATGGAGTCATAGGCCACGCCCACTGGGAGGGAGAAGGAGGAGTTACGTCTTAGAGTGGATACTTTGAGAGGATGTTGGTGGGAAGGACTGGGAAAAGATAGTGAATATCATTAATAATGATTAGAGTACATGTATGTGTATGTACAGTCTAGCCTCTATATGTGACCATAATTGACAAAAGGTACCTTATGGCGGGTAGTGAAATTTGTCTTTCTAGCCCAAGAAATCCAACTTCCTGAGCCCCATTCATCATAAAATTACTCCACAGGATGCAAAAAGTTACCATGAAACTTTTAAAAACAATGATTGTCTAACAAAGCACTCACAGGTTGATATTTTCCATTATAACAATCATTTCTAAAATCCGCCATAAGGGCCCTTTTGTCAATTATGGTCACATATAATAGACACTTTGGATCAAGAAAGTGACTCTGTTATACAGAGGTGTCCTTTATGTGGAGGTTATTTTATACAGTAAGGAATGTAATTGGTACACTAGGTGCTGTCTGTTAAATGGAGGTGTACATAGTAAATGTATTGGTGGGTGTGGCTTACCTCTCAATTAATAAAGGAGTGAATGGTTCAGTGTTCCCGTGATTAACTTTCTTACGCTTGTACTGATTCAATTTCGGTATCCACTCTAAAATAAAATAATACATGACATTACTAAAAAATATTTATTTATTTATATAATTACATCTAAAATAATAATAAAGTAATAAAATACTAATAACTATTTATTTATTTATTTATTTATTTACTTTCAGTTGCAATGAATGTCTCAGTCCAGTGGGTAGCTTTACACACCGAGTGTCTGAATATCCTCTAATACACAGAAAATGAAATTAATAATTAAAACAATAACTTAGTACACGTATAAATGTATATGTATGTCAAATGGGCTAGATTTAATTTTAGCAACCTGGATATACAATATACATGTACATGTACCTCAATATACAATGTACATGTACAAATGTATAATAATATGTATAATGTCCATGTAAATACCTCAGTATACATGTACTTACTTTGTTATTGCTAGAAACAGCTTGTCCAAAACAGTCCATTTCATCATGTTTATTGATGATATCACCAGGCTTGTACTCTGTAACAGGAGAATAATAATTATCAGGCTAACACTATTGTGACGGACAATAATGCATTTAATAGTGTTACATGTACATGTACTTTATTCTCTCTCCTTATCTCTTCTCCCTCTCATTCTCTCATCACTCTTCTTGTATTTCACTCAACATGATAATACTCTTTAAAATGTACATGTATGTACATACATTTACGTACATCTTCCTCTTTCCTCTCCCTCCCTCCCCCTCACCTTCCCCAGGGTTAATGACAGCATTAATGTGTTCAATGACTCCGTCAGAATTAATGTCACCATGAGCAGCATGAGTGGAGGAGAGGGGCAGAGAGAACAATGGACGGCCTGAAGATAAATGAAGGACCTCAATACCCTATGGAAGAGGAATGGGGGATAGATAGTACAAATTGTACATGTATGTGTACATGTACATGTACATGCATACATGTGTATGTTTTTTATACATGACATGTACACGTACATGTTACATGTAGTTTAGTAATTTGTGATGAGAATCTGCTTAAACTTTCTATTTGTGGTGTAAAAAGTGGAAGAATTTGAAATGATTTCATATTCTACTTTTGAAAAAGCTAACTATTAATGAGGAGCTTAAAGGGACACGTTCACGGAAATAGAATGCACACGTTACTGTAGAGGAAGTAAACATTAAATTGGGCGTGCAACAGATCATTAATTAATAGTTATGACACGTGTTTAGACACGCGTAGAGAGTAGAGACAGCAATAAGTCGCAGAACCAGGAGTAGGCATCTGTAGAACACTTCTCTCGAACAGAATCAGCTCTTTTGCCACCCCAAGATACTCTTTTTAGTGAAGAAACACCAGGAATATTTACAAGTAGCCACTCGAGTAGCCATTTTGCCTTAATTATTAGGGGCGCGGCCGCACGTTATGAATAGTTATCAACCCTAAACGTCATCATTAATGATGTCATCTTGAAAAACGGGCCAGTTTTTCAAGATGACGTGCTTCCGTGCATGTGTCCCTTTAATCTTGTTTTTTAAAATTTTTTATGTTCTTGTTTGTGTTGATTTTTTTATAATATTTATAATATTTCTTTAGTTGCCATTGTGATGCTTGTTGATTTTACACAAACAATAATTTTCTTTATTATTATTATTATCATTGTTATGACTTTACATCATCTATGAGAGACAGCATTGAATAGACATGCTGAAGGAATATCAACTATCCTGATGACAAGGGAAATTAATACTAGTCTTGACACAAGTCCTTGTTCAAGAAGCTGTGAGCTGAGAGTGTCCATCTTCCCTGCATGTTATGTTGCAGCTATTCCTGTTCTTTCAGGCTGTTGTTATTCATATTATATATCATTGCATATCATACATTAATTGTCTGTTTTTTAAAATAAAATAAAATCACACACTTGATAAAACAGTAACATGTAAGATTAATACCTTCTTTTAGCTGGAAACCTCCAGTAAAGTATTGCAGTAAGTTGATTCCAAGCATAGCTGGGTAAAAAAATAACTTGCTTCTTCCAGAGCTGCAGATCTGAGCATGCGCGACCACACCCAAATTTTGGAGCACATGCTTCTTTAATTAACAAAATGGCTGCATGCAGCTAAGATGGCTCTATCCAGCAGTCACAGTATCACTTTTTCTTTACTTGAAGAATGATCTGATGGGACATGGACCTGCGCATAGACTTTTGGAGTAGATTGGTGTAAGAATTATCCTTGTAGCACCAACTGATACTGAGATACACACCGACAACTGGATTGACAGGACTTGATGATGAAGAAGATGATGAAGATGAAAAAAGGTGGCTGAACAAAACGGCCGGTTCGCTGATTTTTGAATTTCCTCTTAGACAAGGTCTAGAGCCACGCTAGTTGTACCATTGGAGTCCTCTGGTCAAGATGAGGTCCTCTATAAAGTCTGGTAAGCATAGGAGCTCGTTTTCTGGTATAGCAAGGCTGCAAAAGTCGTGGCAGCCATTTTGTTTGGGGGTGAAT